GGGACCAAGGGAGCCGCGGCTGCTGCTCACAGGCTGCCGGTGTGCCCCGAGGGTGGGGGGCTGCTCCCTGCCCCAATTCCCACCTTCTCACACTGGGTGCAGCTCTGGCACACAGCCCACGAGCCACTCCTGGTTCCAGCTCCTCCTCTGCCTTCTGCCTCCAAGGGCCGAGCTGCCAGAGGATACTGGTGGACAAAAAAATTTGACACGAGCCAGCAATGTGCACTTGAAGCCCAGGAAGCCAACGGTATCCTGGGCTGCATCAAAGGAAACGTGGCCAGTGGGTCAAGAGAGGTGGTTCTGGCCTGCTTCTCATGCAACCTGACCCGGAGTGCTGCGTCCAGCTTTCCCCCACCACAGGAAAGACATGGACCCGTTGGAGTAGATCTAGAGGAGAGCCACAAAAATGATCAGAGGGATGGAACACCTCTCCTGTGAGGACAGGCTGAGAGAACTGGAGTTGCTCAACCTGGAGTAGAGAAGGCTCTGGAGAGACCTTATTGCAGTCTGATGGTATAGAAAGCAGGCTTGCAAGAAAGATGGAGAGAGGCTTTTTAACAGGACCTGTAGTGACAGGACAAAGGGTTTCAAACTGAAAGAGGGTAGGTTTATACTAGACATAGGGAAGAAGTTCTTTATGATGAAGTGGTGAAACACTGGAACAGGTTGACCAGAGAGGCTGTGGATGCTCCAGCCCTAGAAGTGTTCAAGGCCAGGCTGGACAGGGCTTTGAGCTACCTGGTTTAGTGGAAGATGTCCCTGCCCACAGAAGAGGCATTGGAGTAGATGATCCCTTCCTACCCAAACCATTCTGTGATCTTGTGATCACGTAACAAAAGGAACGGTCTCAGTGTTGCTGCCCAACAATATCAGTGCTTCCTCCAGCTGCCTTGCACCATCACTCTCCTTCCAACAGCATCTCACCCACCTGTTCCCATCAACCCACTAAAAACTTCCCAGAGCACTGCCCATCACTACAAGAGTAAGAGCAGGTCCCAGAAGACAACACTAGCTGTAGCCTGTGAAATCATGTATTTAATCTTACTGGTGAGGATGCTTAGCTGAAGCACAATTTACAGCAAAGTCTGTCTTCCTCTGGGACAGGTCATCCCCATCCCCATGCAGCTGAAGTATTGCTGGGCCAAGCCTGAATTAAGCTTGTGCCATAACATGCCACAGGACGACAATACCCATACTTCTTTACTTGGGTCTTGAAATGACATAGGATGAGATGAAAACCAAAGACCTGTGGACCCTTTTCCACAGAGGGCAAGCAAAGGGGAAGAAATACATGAAGAAACTTGGTCTCAGAGGCAGCAGCCAAAAACTAGTATCTGCAGTTTTCCCTTCCACTTGAAGCGTGGGAACCCTCATCCTTTACTCCTTTCCTGTGCAAAGGCCACCAGACAACATTAACTAAAATGTTTGACCTTCTGTAGGGTATCTATCGATTTGTACACACAGAGACAGCAGAGGACTGCTGTGCCAGTGTCTGGGTTCAAAGTCAGTTCAGGTATGCAATGCAAGCACAGCCTTAACAAACGAAAAAACAGAGGAGAGCTACACCGAGCTGTCCCTGATGGGTGGCCACAGCATTATCATTTTGTGCTGTTTTTTCCAACCTCCACATTGTAGACTTGGGCCTCCATGAAGAAAACACAGGTAACAGGTATGGGCAGCCACATGAGAAGAAACACATTAAGGACTGCAAAACATGTGGATACTACAGTAACAATGGTCCTGTAAACATTCAAGAGCAGCCAACTGACTTCTTTCTGAAATGCCAGTGCCCTTACAGGAGCCTGGAGAAGGTGGCCACCATCAGGATCTACGAGTCAGTACCTGCAGCTCTAAGAACACAGGTCTGCTCACAGGAGCACTCGCCCAGTGCCTCACACTGGGGTCTGAGTACACAGTTTGAGTCACTGTAGTGACAAACAGCATTCAGCTTGTTGGCCTCCAGCCCCAGCTCTCTTTGCTGGACCCGAGGCTGATGTGAAAGGCAGCAAACTTCAACGCTATTTCTGTAAATGCACACTGCAGAATCATCAGGCACCAACCTCACCTTTGCTGCATGTTCACAGAACAAACCACAGTCAGATTAAATACAGAAGAGTAACCTTCGTGTCTTCCCTCCCCCCCCGCCCCATCCTTTTACTTCATGCTTAACTTGCAAAGTATCTGGAAGAATAAAGCAAGAGGAAAGGTCAAAATCCCAAAGGAAAATAAAAGATACACTGGCATTACTGTACTAATAAATTTACTGAACTTTATGGCATAGACTTGAATGGTTTCCTCTAAGCTATGTACTGACTCCCTCTCTGCACTTCTGTTAACTGATTTGCCTTACCAGCAGTGGCACAAGTCTGTCAGTAATTTTAGTACAGTGTCAGTAATTGACTGGACAACTTATGAGTACAAGATCCCTTCTTTTCCTGCAATGAGTCTATACTCACTGGTGCTGGAGAGAATACAGGTGGATAATGCATAAGACACTCAGATATAAAGAGCTTTACATTACATATTTGCTCCAGTCCCATTTTAGAGGAGGAGAAGACCAAAAAAAGGAGAGAAAAAAAAAAAAAAAAAGCCTGAAGAAAGCCCGTGAGACCCAAGCCTCTAAGGCAAGCTCTTACTGGCAAGACTTTAAGATGGCTCTGGAGAGCATTTGTTAACTCCCTGGTAAATTCTTTGCAGAAATAATCACAACAGGAGTCGTCTCAGGAGACACTTGAAAGAAGAGACACTTGAAGGAAGATGAGTAAGTAGCTTTACACTGGCAGGCAGCTACAGGCAGGTTCTCCCAAGCATGCAGGAAAGCTGAGGAGCCTATTTAAAAGCATACAGATGGACAGCAAAATGTGGCAGGATGGGTCAATGAGAGGCAGAAGCAGATGCAGATAGCTCCATATGTATTGGAGGTATATCTCCAAAATATACTGGGAGGTAAATGGAGGCAGAGCAATGATACAGGAGAATAATGTTTGCAGCAGTGTCCTGGGGGATGACAAGGCAAGATCACAGTATGTAACCGGTGCAAAACTAGCACAGGACTCAAGAGTGGGTGTCATGAGCCTGTCTCAGACCAGCAGCTGTACAGAGGTATTTGAGGTATCACTTGCAAAGAGTCTGTGCTACAAAGATGGAGTCCCAGATACAGAGAATGAGAGGCCCTGATCAATTTGGATGCCAGCAAACCAGGAATCTGTGTCATTCACAGCAATCAAAAGAAGGACCAGCGAAGTCCAGGCAGCACTTACCTCAGCCTAAAAAGATCTTTGTCACTGTGAAAATAGCAACACTGCACTTCACTTGCTTTACTCCTTGGAGAGACTGTTCAGGTAGGAACAGGTTACGAAGATTGGGAAATGTCCTTTTTTTTGCAAACTCAGTTAAGCTTTTACAACTGCTTTTAGCTCAGCTCCTGTTATGTTTCTTTCATAGCTTCTGGTGAACAGTGGCTTTGGGAAAGGTGTTAATTCTCTGTGTACTAAATGCATTAGGCAGAACAGTCAAATTATAGCACTCATCCAGCTTGTAAATGGGCTTTGTTATACTCTAGCATCTCACAGGGGTACAATGAGAAAAGCAAGATTGTCTGTTCACAAAATGTGCACTTTTTTTTTCTTTTTTAACAAATGCAGTAAGAACACACGAAGAAATTTAAAGGGACCAACACAACATAGCTTGGGCAAAAAGACAAGCCTCCACTTGCTCCAATCAATTGTAATGATTTCTCCTACTGAAGGGACCCTGCAAGACTTCCCAGTGTCTGGAGTACTGACAGTCAGTCTTCTGCCAGTGACTAACCTCTCTCTGAAGTCAATGCTCATCAACACACCTCAGTGCTTCAGCGTTTCGAGAGCAACAAATTTATCCAAGGTCATAATAACATCTATGAGCCAAGTGGAAGGGGTTGAAGTTTTTTCCTTTCAAAGACTGAACGCACATGGGAGTTTTCAGTGAACCAAAATAACAAGTGGCAGAATTAGGAAAAAAACCCAAGCAAACAACAACAATAAAATAAAATAAAAAACCAAACACACACAGCAACAACAAAAAAACAAAAACACCCACCAAAAATCTGCTAGGCTGTGGAACAGCCTTCCCAAAGGGTCACTGGCACATTGACCCAACTTTACCTTGTCGCAGAAGACTTTGATCTGGCAGTAGGCTCTGTGGACAGGTTTGTTACTCCTGTTATTGTAGCTGTAGGTGTCGATCTGAAGATTCAGGGGCAAGCCTTTAACTCCCTTCTGAGAGGAGAAATCAGTGCTGAGGCAGTTCACAGAAATAAAAACCTGCAGAAGAGGAAAGCACAACCCGTCAGCAGGGACACACAGGCTGAGCAATGGACTACTCAGTGAGTGCTGAGATGCAGATGCTAGTCCTTGCCATTGCAAGCAGGACCTTCTTTCTTGTGAAAGATCAGGTAAAATTCACAAGAAGTGGTACAATATTCTTAATTCTTTATATAGGTGACTGCAGGGAAGAAAGCCACTTTGACCAGAATGAATTTCAAAAAACTCTCCAAACTTTATGAAAGCTCTACCCATTTTTCCACCCAAGAACTCTCAAATGTCATCATAAAACTTTCAGCAACAAGAATCCTCCTACACTCAATCCTCACTGCTCAGTGTTTTACCATCTTGGTATGATCACAACCATGCTTTGAAAAATTTATGTTACTTTGAGCAAGTCAAAACAAAGCCTTCCATGAGCGTTACATAAGCTGCTGTGAGCACAGCTTATGCTTGAAACTACTTCATGGATTTTTTTTTTTTTTGGTAAATTATATTAAAAGCTTTTAAAAATATTAGCCAACATGTTGTCTTTCAGCGCAGCAATAATACCATTATTTCAGTTAAAGTTTGTGGGCTTCACGCTTAAAAAGACAAATACTATTTTGAATATTCCCCAGTAAGACCTACAATACCCTGTTAATGTTCAGATCAAAAGGGGAAAAGTAATATTTTCATTATTCTAATTTTAAAAAAAATCAAATTACGGGGAAAAAGAATTAAGAGTGATTATCAAATTTCCTTTTCAGGATTGCCTAAAAAACACAAACCCCAAAACAAACCCAAATCCAGAGAAAAGTCAAATGCTGCTTAATAGAAGGAAGAAATACCCTTCCATGGATACAAACTGATAGAGCAGAGTGCCTGGCACCCAGAACATGGGCTTCCTGTGTGCAAAGCTCTTCCTCAGACACAACCTTTGTATTTTTTTATTTAAGCTGTATGATTAATTACCTGGAATTACCTGCATAAAGCTACAGTGATTAATTACTAGGAATTTATGAGCTATCAAGACCGGCAACGGCTCCTCTCTTCTCTGGCTCCAGAATAAAGGCTAGGAACCCACTGCTTCCAAAAATTATCAACACCTTGGGAACCAGAAGTGTCCTGCCAGAGATTCTGCAGGACTACTATCCCACTGTCCTATGTCTTCCTTACTGTGCTGCTGCCACGAAGCACCCATCTGAGAGTCTCCGCAGTGAGCTAGTGCCACCTCCCGGAGCCCGCCCGGTGCTGCAAGGTCTCAAGGTAGGTTCTGAAAAGCTTACAGGTTTGGGTCGGGTTTGGAGTTTTGCACAGTGCTTATCACGGGCTTCTTCACCCGGGTTCTGCAACGATCTTTATTAACTTTAACAAACGAGGGGAAAAAGAACGTGTAGCCCAACCGATGACTTTGCCTGCTCTCACCCACCTCCCTTCCCCTTCTGCCACCTTCAGCTTTCCGAGGACAGTCTGCCTGCAGTGCTGGCACAGCCTGCAGGAAAGCTTCAAGGAGTTTGAAGAGCTGCTTGCACCCACTTGGGAGCTGAGCTAGGTAATCAGGCGTATGCACTACCTGAATAATTGTGTTCGCCAAGCAGAGGTTTTGCTTTTTGAAAAGAGCCTTAGCTCTGTTGTTTGCATATTTTTACATTTTAAATTTTAATTTTAAATTTATTTACTCATACTGAATATTCACATGCGACTCTCACATCTGTATGAAGAAATGACTGCGGTCTTCAAGAACACATGCCCCAACAGCCATGCCAGAAGGTCCATCACAGCCTCACAGCTCCAGTTTCTGTGAAATCCCTCGTTGGAGTTTCACATCACTGGACACCAGCAGACTTGATGTGCAGCATCAGCCACCAATTCCCTAGCAAGCAGCGTCACTTCTCTATTGGATAATTCAGGTCTCTGTTTTCAGTTTTCACATGGCTTACTAGCCACAAGAGCCCAGGCAGCATGCTGGGCTGAAGGTAGAAGGGCTGGTCTCAGCAAGACAGACACATGCCATGGCACAGCCACACAGGTATCCCATGGGAATTTGGGATTGCTTGTCAGATGACAAAGATTATCCTCCTACTTCAGAGTCCCTTGTTTCATTAGCTTTGGCTTTGAGCAGCCGACTTCATTTTCATGCCATTTAAGTTCTCGGGACTCTGGGCAGGAGATGACAACTAAAACCTAATCACCTGTCTGAAGCAATGGAGAGCCAGCCTGTCTTCTGTTTGTACAAAGCCATTTCAGTTCAAAAGGATCATCTCCTTCTCCCTAACCATCCTGTAACTCCTAGTTTCGAACAGCTTCAGGTTGCCTGAAGTGCCAAAAAAGCCAGAGTTCTAGAGAACAACTTTTCCAGTTTGGGCTAAGCCAGTTTCAAGCCGAGTGCATTTTGTTCAGGAAGATTTGACTTGCATTCAAAAAGAAACGCAAGGGCAGGTGACTGTGCCAGCTACATCCCCACCCCAAAATTGCCAGAAGAAAGAAAAACGTAACCGCAGAAGTTGCTCTGCGTCTTCAGCCTGCTGAGCAAGATTCCTTTTCATGTGTCCAACCTATTTTTCTAAGGGCAGTTCCGCATTCTCAGCTATATTAAGATTTGTTGTTACTTTTAAAAAAAGAAAAAAAAAATTCATCTCACCTCCCAAGATTCAACATAAAGACAGCACTTCAAAAATAGACTGTCAAGCCAGAACATTTACAAACGTGAGTCAAGTCCTCAAAAGTTAAAAGATTTTCTTTAAAACTGAGATTTCCAAAAGGATTAGAAACCTGTTGTCAATTTAGTTTGCTTGCTTAGCAGTTAAGCCTTTAGTCTGTATTTGAATCTTATCTCCAGGCTTTCTTTCCAACCAAAGCCAAGCTTTATTTTCCTTCTCTTTTTGTTGATTTTTAAAAATTACTAATGAAAGCTGAGATTCTCATCAAGACAAATGACTCCATAACAGCGAGGTTTAAAAACACCAAACAGCATGAAACCTGTGAGCTGGTATAAATTGTTAACCCCAACACACAACTGGTGACCTACACCCCAACACGCTCCAAACCCTCCTGCACCCACCACCAGGTTGGGCTTCCTGCAGCCTTTGTGCCAAACGAGCAGCAGCACCGCTGCACACAACGGAAGACCAAAGGCAGAAGGATTAAAGCACCTCCTCTGGGATCACGCTGGCAGTCAGGGTGGGAAGAAGGCAAACCTCATGACTTCCCAGTCTGCTTTTACTGCCCGACCACTCACACCTAATTTGGGAGAAGCACACTGTGCCTGCGTTCAAACCTACGAGAAACATTCTTCTATTCTAATAATGCAGAAAAAAAATAAATTAATCTGGCAGCTCTGCTGTGTGCCCTCAAGGAAGGGCAGCAGAGGCAGCCAAGTTCTTTCCACACAGTACCTTTTTCTAACAAGATCTGCCTTTCAAACAAACCAGGAAAAACAGGCGTAATTAAAGGGCAATCAAAGCGCTGGAGGAACCTCGCTGTCAGCGAGATGAAAGATGCCTTTTTAAAATGAAGGCCTGCATATCCAGATCTCTTCTCCTCAGTTTATCTTGGACGCCATGCTCTTCTGTCACACAAAAAAGTACTGGCAATTTTCATTAGTCCAAAGGCTACATATGCAGCAGCTTTAGTGAAATGTCACCTTGTACAGCCTCTTCTGACTCATTGCAAAGCAAAGTTGGAAACGAACGACATGTAGGTACACATCAGCAATGTCTGGGGTTGCCATAGGGAATGGCAAGTAACCCAGGTGGGTATCAGCACGCTGTAAGCTCTGGCCAGTGGCCAGCAAACACAAGCATGGGTAAGACTGTAATGGCCACACAGCAGATCACCCTGTCATGCAAAGTCTTGTACGTCCTTCTAAATAAGACCCGACACAGATGGGCTTGGGACTATTTCAGTCTGATCACCTTGCTTCACATGGCTTTCATTTTCCATAGAAGACAGGTAAATAGAATTAATCTCCTTCTATTTATACTCCATTATATTTTTATACCCAGAGGATGAAGATATCACTCAATAATCCAAGTCCATTGGGCATTTCTTTCTGTATCAAAAATTCATATAAAACCGTAGCTCTTTCCTGGCACTAGTAAGCAAAAATCTCTGATTTTAATGCTATATTGAACATAACATTGTCAGGATGCTTTTGATTCTGGATTTCTGCATTTGGACGGAATAGAGAGTTTGGAGCCTACAACACAACCACCAGGAACAGGTTAAACTGTGATGAGCTGCTTTCTAGGGAATGAAGTTAAGACACTGTTCTTCTTGTATTAGGCTAAATAATTTAAATGTTCTGTCCAAGACAGAGTAGGCAAAGGGTTTCCAGTATATCCTGTGACCATTTCCCCAACACAAAGGCAATGTCTTGCCTGTGGACCAATCACCATACATCCTACTTGCAAGCCAGCCTGAGGCTGCACGCGGCCCTTGCACAAGGGGACCATGGGACCGACGCTGCATCCTGCTTAGCTTTCCCCTGCAGCAGCAAGGCCACTCCTGTGGTCTCCAGCTGGGGAAGGCAGCAGTCACTGCACAGCTGACTTGATCTACAAGTTATTTTCACTTCTTGCAGAACAAAGGGCCATAGAAGCCATCCAGTGAACAAACCTGCACAGGAAACTTTGAGGCTACCACAGCAGATTAAGAACTATAGGAACAAATTAAGGCAAAGGATCCATCAGACCTAAATAAAAGGACTTGGATATGGACCAGGGGACTTGAACGAATCTCCTCCTCCACCCGCACAGAGGACCAAGACACACACCATCCAACACTAGGGAGCGAGAAGCTACACACCTCTTGCCAACGCCAGCCGCCCCCAACCTTTCCACACCCGCTGCAGTTTTTTCAGGAATTCTGGGAATGCTGAAGCAAAGCCCAGCCGTGGCCTGGGCCTGGCCTCCCGCACACGTGTGAGCAACTCGGGGGTACGCAGCCGTGTGGTCAGCATTCCTTGCTGGGTTACTGAAGGAGCAGCCCTAGGCCCAAATTCCACGAACAACTCATTT